GAGGCAGAAGTGAGCCTGAGATTCAGGGCGGCGGCCATGCTGCAGGGGTCCTTGGCTGCAGGCCTGACCCCCACCCAGCAGGCCACCACAAGGCGTCCCATCAGTTCTATGATGAGCCCACCTCCCACTTTGATCCCAAAAAAGAGAGGAGGTGGGGAGCATTGATTTACCCAAAGCAAAGGCAACACAAAGGCTGCACCTGTTTCCATGGAGACGAGATTGACTTAGCAAAGGAACAAAAACAGAGCAAGAAACACAAGCCCGGCACCACCTTCCGGGCCAGTGTGATCGATGTTGGCGGACCAGTGCCCCGACAGGAAGGCGGCGGAAGGATGAAAGGTGCTCAGCAGATCTAGAAGCACACGGGGAGCCCTTTCAGTTGGCAGAGGGTGAGGCCTCACCAGGCCCCCAGGCATACAGACTGCCCAGCCAACTCCTGAGAAAATTCCTGAACAGAAATCCAAAGTGAGGGATTCTTCCTTTCATAAAAGGATTCTTTGCTTGACAAAAGGATTCCTGGAAACAACATGACAGGGGTTGGGGTGGCTGAAGCTTTTGTTCCACTTCTTTAGTTACTTCTGAAGAGCAGGGAAGGACCAAGGAGTAATTTCCAGTGGTAAGTTTGTAAGAAAAGAATACAAAATACCTAAAGGAAGAGGACGGGTGGGTGGGTACAGGTGTCTGCTGGGAGGGGGCCACATAGTACCAGAGGCCCTTGGCAGAAAGGGAAGCTGGGAAGCAGAAGGTATCCAAAGACCCTCAGGGAAGCACAGGTCCCAAAGAGATGCATGGGTGCTCTCCAAGCCATTAGATTGAGAGGAAATGAGGGGGCAGCCTTCATCTCCCCAGGAACAGGAAGGCAAGAGACCTGAAATACCCTCAAAAAGTGTTCCTGAGTGGAGGCCAGATGTCACCAGTATGTTCAGCAGATGGCAGGGGTTCTAATGCAGTCATAAGAGCCTCCTGGCTTGTGTGTGTGTGTGTGTGTGTGTGTGTGCGTGCGCGCGCACACACGCTCTTGTTTCCACCCCACCCAGTGCTGGGATTATAGGTGTGAATTGTACCTGTTTACACAGATGCTGGGGATCTGAACTCAGGTCCTCATACTTGTGTGACAAGCACTTTACTGGCTGGGATATCACTCCAGCCCCTTGATTTGCTCTTGATGTTCATCAGGTGACGTATATTAAGTATCTCTTTGCATATATTATGCTGGCAAAGGGTTAAGGCGAGGTACCAACTAATCCTTGGAGAGTCTCTCCAGAACTTCATAGAGATGGGTCTTTTCCTGTCTATAATTCCTACAGGGAACAAAAACCAAGGATAGCAACAAAAATATTCCCTGAGCATGCTGTGTGGGCCAGACATTAAGGAACCATTGACTCCCTCATCCTCTCCGCCACTCCACAAGGGAGTCATTAGCCTCTCTGTTTAGTAGCAGTAAACGGGCACAGTGAGGAGAGAAATGCATCATGTGCCTAGCAAGAGGCAAAGCCCATCTTCAAACACAGGTCTGCCCAGCTGCAAAGCCTGTGAACAAATACAGGGTCACACACCTGCCACATTAAGCTCCATTTAACAAAGACCAAGGATGAGAGAAAGCCAGGAACATTCACTAAGCAGAGGCAGAAGAGGGACTCTGAAGACATGGGACATGCATCCAGGGTGTCACCAAGCAGGGTGAGTCTGGGTACCCTTAGCAAAGTTTCCTAGCAACCACAAGCTCTGGAATGAGCATGTAGTTCTCACAGAGCAAGCGCCCAGAGGTGACATCTCTGGGACTCTGGTTCAATGATCATCCCACTGGGAACATTTGAGGAACCACTGGGGAACCTGGGGACTCCCAAGGATGCTCAGATATGGCTGGCTTCCAGGGAATTGATTTACACCTGTATCCTTTCCTAAAACTGGCCTGCTACACAGCACCTGTACTTGAAGGTCCTGTCCTGACACCAACCCTGAAACCACTTCCCACTCTTTGCCTTACCTCAATCCCTACCTTGGAGGTAAAGGCCACCAAAGAGACAACTAGAGAGGACTGTCTTCCAACAGGGGAGTTCCAGGAAAAGAGACAAAATAAGCTTCCTCAGGACCCCAGAGAGGGTAGCTGGCTTTATTTTGCTTCTATCTTATATAACCACTTGCTTATTTTAGGTTTAGACTTAGGAATCGAGGAGGACTCTGTCCCAGGGACATCTGCCTAACACAATTCCCAGAATAAAGAAATTGAAGGGGTAGGGAGATGGCTCAGTCAGTAAAAATGCTTATCTTGCAAGTGTGACAACCTGAGTTCAACCCCCAGAATCCATATTTTAAAAATCCAGGCATTGTGGCACATGCTTGTGCTTGTAATATCAGTGTTGAGGCTCCATGGTCAGTGAGAGACTTTAAAAGGGGAGGGTAGCAGGAGCTGGAGAGATGGCTCAGCTGTTAAAAAGCACTGGGTGCTCTTGCAGAGGATCTGAGTTCAGTTCTCAGCACCCACATAGCAGCTACCAGCCATTTATAACTCCAGTTCCAGATCCAACATTCTCTTCTGGCCTCCACGGGCATTGACACATATGGTACACTTACATATGCAGACAAAAGATACTCATGGGGCTGGAGAGATGGCGCAGTGGTTAAGAGCTGACTGCTCTTGCAGAGGACCCGGGTTTGATTCCCAGCACCCACATGGTGGCTATGAACGGTCCTTAACTCCAGTTCCAGGGGAATCTAACGCCCTCTTCTGACCTCTGCAGCACTGCACGACACGGGTGCACTCACATACATGCAGGCAATACACTCATGCACATAAAATAAAAATAATAAAATATTTTTTTAAAAAACCACGATACTCGATACTCATATACATAAAATAAATAAAAAAAAATTTAAGGGGGAACAGCACCTGGAATGACACACAAGCTTGACCTCTACATGCACACACACGTGCACCCATACACACATATACACACACAACAACAAAAATGAAAATAGAGTCAGACTTTTTCTAACCCAAAGCATGACTGGCAGATTGGTCTCACCATGAGGTTCAGTTTTGGCAATTAGGAAATATGGCAGATGCTTGCCATCACTGCCTGGGCTGAGTCTGCCACTCTAAGGCTTTGACAAAAATATATCTGAATTAAGTACATGACATATAATACGTTTGAATTACAGTCTACTTAAAGTTAAGATGAATTTTTAAATGTGTGAGATCTGTGGTTTTTCACAATTCATTTGATATGTGTGGGAGGGACAAAAGTTTGAAGTTTACTGCTTTCCTTCCCTGGAGTGATGCTCAAGGGTTCTAGCCTCTCACAACAGACCAGGGGTATGGCACAGTGAGCTGTCCTGAGGCAGCTGCAGTACATACAGTGAACACCAGACATGGGTCTGGGTGTACATTTGCTTCAAGGCTTCTTAGCTATGTGGATCTGACTGTCACCCAACATCCCTGGGCCTCAGTTTCCCTTTGAGTCTGTGGGGAGAATGGCCTATGAGGTATATTCAAAATCCCAGTGATGACAACAGTGGTAGCAACGACATTAAATGAATAATGGAGGAGTACATCCCCATAAACAACCCCAAAGAGTAGCCAACCGCAAACATTTTCTGCTTGGCTGGGACCACTTGGTACTACGTGTCTCTTGATGATATTAATAACTAATATTTATTGAACGAGGCACTGGACTAAGAGCTTCATAGGCCTCTGCTCATTTTGTTTTCACAGCAACCCACAAGTCAGGTGTCATTCTTGTTCCTGATTCAAGGCACAGAAAGCTTGTGTACTTGCTCAACTCATTTGGCTAGCAACTAAAGGCCCAGTGGGTCTGTTTGAGCCCAGAGCACAAGCCCTCAAACCCCTCCCTACTCACACTGCAGTCCTCAGTAGGCAGCGTCTGCATCAACTCACTAGCAAAGTGGGATTCCTGGACTGAGTCCAAACCTATTGGATTAGAACCTGCCTTTTAGCAAATTCTAAGGGCTGGAAAATCACTGCTTTCAACCACCAGTCCAGCTGGTTAACCATCCTGGGTTTATCTTGCTGAGGTAATATTAGAATATTTGCCTCTCTCTCTCTCTCTCTCTCTCTCCCTCCCTCCCTCCCTCCCTCCCTTCTCTCTCCACACAGACACATACACATGCACACACACACACACACACACACACACACCAGCAATAAAAGCAAATAAGATGGTTAAGAATATAATAATCCATCCGTAACACAGGAAAAAAGCAAAAAAGGCTCTGAGGGTTCCACAGGCTGCCATCCGTGGGTTCACTAGGTATGGTATAGGATGGGGGCAGTGGCAGGTCTGATGGGGCTTTTAAATTTATTTTTTATTACATTTATTAATTTTTTGTGTTTGTGCATGAGTGTGTGTGCACTCCTGTGTGCCATGATGTGGATATGGAGGTCAGAGGGAGTCAGTTCTCACTTTCTTCTATCTTTGTAAGCCCCAGGAACTGAACTCAGGTTGTTAGACTTGGCAAGCACCTTTACCGGTTAAGCCATCTTGCCAGCTCTAGAGAGGGCCTTCTATTATTTGAATTTTTTTGTTTTTGTTTTCGTTTTGTTTTTTGAGAGAGTCTCACTATGTAGTCCTGGATGGCTTTGAACTCACTTAGATTCTCCTGCCTCTCCCTCCTGAGTTCAGGGATTATAGGCATGAGCCACCACACTCAGCTTATTATCTGAGTTTTAATGAAGATGATGTAGTTGTGTCTTGCTTATAGGAATAAAAAAGAAAGCATGTTTTATTTACTTATTTATATTTTAAGATTTATTTTATTATTAATTATATGTATTTGTGTGTGTATCTGTGTTAGTATGTGCACATGAGTGCAGTGCCTATGGAGGCCAGAAGACAGCATGGAATCCCTGGAGCTGGAGCTGCTTGACATGGGTGCTGGGAATCAAACTCTCAGGTCTTCTACAAGAGCAGTGGGCACTCTTAACCGCTGAGCCATCTCTCTAGTCCCTTTATTAATTATTTGTTTGTTTGTTTTTAATTAGGGGAGAGCACAAATGCAGTCCCTGTTACCACAAATTATGTAGTAAAGTTTCCCACATTTGGGAAACTCTCAAAGGTCAGCATATCCAGAGTGCAATGGATGAGCCTCACCAAGTAAAACTACCTTCTTGATCATGGTAATCCCCAGCCAGGTATGTTATTTGGTGTATTTTTTAAATATTTATTTATTTTTATTTTATGTGTATGAGTGTTTTGCCAGCATTTAAGTGTACCACCTGTGTGCAGTGCCTACAAGGGCCAGAAGAGGGCATCAGATCCCCCTGAAGCTAGACTTACCAACACTTGTTAGCCACCATGTGGATGCTGGGAACCAAACCCAGGTCCTCTGCAAAAGCAGCAAGCGTTTTTAATCTCTGAGTCATCTCTTTAGTCCCCATTATTTGATGTTTTGAGATAGGGTCTCACTGTGTAGCCCAGGCTGTCCTTGAACTCAATCCTCCTGCCTTCACCTCCTGAGTGCTGGGATTATAGGCATGCTCCAACAGGCCCACAGAAAGCATATTTTAAAATACAAGTTCAGATCACTGGAAATTGGCTGTTTTACGATTTCCATTGATCCAAGGCAGTTAACAGCTTCTATCCTGAAACTCTCAAAGGCCAAGGTAGTGAACAGGGAGAGAGGGAAGTGTTCCAAGCCAGAAGACCAGGATTCAAGTCCAGGCTCTGCCCCTAATTTGTTGTGGGCCTGTTTCCTCTGTTCTGAAGAGGGGTAACCTACCCTCTTTTCAGCCCCAAAATGTGGGTACAGAGATGAATAATGTGGCAAAATGCTTAAAGGGTCCTTGTGAACTACGAGGTATACAATCAACAGCCAAGTGTTTTCTTACAAAGAAGCGATGAAAACCAAAGCAGTGGCCCGTTTACCCTCTCATTCCATTCCCTTCGCAGATATCCCATGGCTTTATAAGGAAGATAGACTAGAGTAACCTGGACTCAGATTCCGTGGGAGCATTAGGCAGCATCAGACCTTATCCGAATTTAGAAGTCAGATTTGGACATGGTCCAAACACTACAAGAAAGGGCTAATTCTCAGTCGGCCCATTTTCTTTGTGTTTCTCCCCTGGCTTCTGCAGGCTCCCGGGTCCTCGGGAGGTTCTGTTTCAGGGTTTGGCCACTGTCTCCAGCTCTGTCCCCCAGCTACCCTAGAACAGGAGACTTAAGGCCTATGCCTTGGCTTGCTTCTGGCCAATGCCATGTTTCCTACTTTTCAGCTTAAAACTCATATTGACAGAAATGGAAAGAGTAGAGTTGGCCCTAACTCATCTTGTGGGGGTGGTATGGAGTTTAGATACACAGTGTTAAACAGATTTCCTCAAATTTCCTGTATAATTTGCTTAAAGTAGGGGGGAGCAGAGCTGGGAAATGGCTTAATTAGTAAAGTATGCATTGCATTGTGTAACCTCGAGGACCTGAGTTCAATCTCCAGCACCACTTAAAAGAGCCAGGCATGGTGTCACATGTCTTTAATCCCAGTACTCAGGAGGCAGAGGCAGGCAGAACTCTGTAAGATCAAGGCCAACCTGGTCTACATAGTGATCTCCAGGCCAGCTGGGGCTATAGGGAAACACTGTCTCAAAAAAAAAAACCCCACAAACAAACAAAATAAGGTGGTACTGGGCATGGTGGTGCCTGCCTTAGCCCCAGCACTCTAGAGGCAGAGGCAGATGGATCTCTGTGAGACTGAGGCTAGCTTGGTCTACATAGTGAGTTTCAGGCCAGCTAGTGATACACAATAAGACTCTGTCTCAAAAAAAGAAAAAAAAAGGGCGAAGAAGATACCTGATGTCCTGATGTCAACCCCTGATGTCCATATACACCTGAACACACAAATATGTGCACATGCACACATAAAAGTAGAGTTGAGTTGGGTTGTCTGGCCCTCGAATCCATGTTTTCTACATGGCCTTTGGAACTCCCTCCTTTCTTTAAGACTTCTCAGTCATTGGTCATTTATTTGCATATGTATCACTGGCTTCACCCTGACTCCTCATTGTTGAAGACTAAAAGCTGCATTTCAAACTGAGCAATCTTTTTCTTTTTTTTTTAATTTTTTTTTTTTCAGTCTTTTTGAGACAGGGTCTCCCTGTAGTCCCAGCTGGCCTGGAGCTCACTATGTAGACCAGACTGGCCTTGAACTCACAGAGATCCGCCTGCCTCTACCTCCCGAGTGCTGGGATTAAAGGGGTGTGCCACCATGCCCGGCTTGTTTTTTTAATTTTTAAAAATATTTTATTTATTATTTTTATTTTATGTGTAAGCGTGTATTGCCTGCATGTAGGTAAGTGCACCCATGCTGTGCAATGCCCGAGGAGGACAGAAGAGGCTGTCAGATCCCTTGGAACTAGAGTTACAGACAGTTGTTAGCTGCCATGTGGGTGCTGGGATTTGAACCTGGGTCTTCCGCAAGAATAGTCAGTGTTCTTAACCACTGAGCCATCTCTCCAGCCCCAATCAAGCTGAGCAATCTTAAAGTACAGTCTGAAAGTTCCATTGCAATTGAACCAGGAAAGAAACCCTAGCCAGATATTCCAAGGAGAACTAGACTTGGCTAAGCTGTGATGAGCATCAGTTATAGTAAAGTAGAGCAAGAAAGATTCCAGGCAGACAATTCCAGACCCATTCCCCAGGAGCTGTGGCAGCTTAGATGACTTAATCTTCCCAGGCCTCAACTGTCTTGCATAAAGAGGAAGAGTGCCAGCATCTGCTACTCTCATGGACACCCTCACTCTAACCACCCATCCCAAAGGTGAGGGTCTAAGTCAGTTCTCCAGCACAGGTGCCTTTCATTTTTCTCTTTCCCTCACTCTCTCCCTCCTTCCCTCCCTCTCCCCATGTAGTCCAGGCTTGCTTGCCTTTAATTTCTGATCTTGTCTTTACCAGGAGTACATTATCACACCTGACTTTTCTCCTCTTTTTAAAATGATTGCTCAGATTTTATCCTTATTTGCTGGTCTGGGCATGCGTCCTAGGGAACCAGTACACTCCAAGCTATTCTAGTGTGCACCCATGGCTAAGAACTGTGGTCCACATCAGCTTCTCAGCCTTTGACACCCATACAAATCTCCCAGGGATCTTCCCAAAACACAGGATCTCACTCAGTAGATTTGGTGTAAAGCTCTGGATTCTGCATTTCCAAGTAGTGCCAAAATGATGCTGCTGGGGCTGGTCCATAATCTCAGGAAGAATGGCCCCCCAAACTCCAGGCCATGGAGCAGATGGCTAGAAAACTTAGAGCATTTGTCTCCCCTGTAGCCTTGCAGGCCAGCTCTATCCAGCCAGGCAGGAAGTTTATTGTCTCCTAGAAGCTGTCAACTACATGACCTCAGATTGAGGCACGGAGATCCAGGACCAAAGGCTGTCCCCAGATGACCCTCACTTTGGCTTCCTGTTGGCTTTTTGGCCACAAGTGTGGTCACAAAGACACACCAGCAAACCAGTGGCGACTCCACACCCTGTGTTCATGTCGAATTGCGTTTTTCAAGATAGCAAGGGAGCAGTTAGAGGGAAAGGGCCCAACATTACTTTTGCTTGGATGGGTAGGGTGGAGACCATAGCCCGACTTGGCAGGAAGGATGTCCCAGCCACAAGAAGCTGAGCAACAGTAGCTCTGGCCAGCCAGACTCCTCCAACCAGCCAAGCAGGAAAGCTGCCTGTCTGAGCTGGCCTAATGAAGACACAGTTAAAGGAGCTTTGGGGAAGTGTGAGCAGGGAGGGGCTGGGTGGACAGTATGGTGACCTTGAAGGCCAAAAAACACAGTGCCAACTAGAAGCCTACCATGGGTCAGGCAGTTTTATAAAAGGAATACTTTCATTTGATCTTCACATTGACTTTGCCAGTTTAGCACCTCCGTTTTCCTGTACACATGGGGAAACTGAGGCTCAAGAGGTAAATGACAAGGCAATTTACACAAAACAGAGCCAGGATGAATCCAATCCTGTCCAATTCTTCCTATTTCTTTATATTGCTAATCAAAACTCTTAAATCTGGGGCTGGAGGGATGGCTCAACAGTTAGAGCACTGGCTATTCTTGCAGAGGACCTGGGTTTGATTCCCAGCACCCACATGGTGGTTAACAACCATTCATGATTCCAGTTCCAGGGGACCTGACGTCCTCTTCTGACCTCTGCAGGCATTGCACAACATGGTACATTTACATACATGCAAGCAATATACTCACACACATATAGTTAAAAAAATAAACGGGACTGGGCCAGGCGTGGTGGCGCATGCCTTTACTCCCAGCACTTGGGAGGCAGAGGCAGGTGGATCTCTGTGAGTTCAAGGCCAACCTGATCTACATAGTGAGTTCCAGGACAGCTGGGGCTACAGGGAGGCCCTGTCTCAAAAAAGACCAAAAAAAAAAAAACGGGACTGGAGAGATGGCTCAGTGCTTAAGAACACTGGCTGTTCTTGCAGAAGACCCAGGTTTGAATCCCAGCACCCACATGACAGCTAACAACCGTCCGTAACTCCAGTTCCAGGGGATCCAACAGCCTCTTCTGTCGACCACCGGCATTGCACGACACAAGGGTGCACTTACTTACATACAAGCATAACAATCATACACACAAAATAAAAATAATAAATAGAATATTTTTTTAAAAACCTATTCCAGGACCAGTGAGATGGCTAAAGGTGGGTTAAAGGTGCTTGCCACCAAACTTAATGACCTGAGTTAGAGCCCTGGAACACACATGGTGAAAGAACAGGACTGACTCCCCCAAGTTGTCCTCTGACCTCCACACAAGTGCCATGGTATGTACAAACATGTGCATGTACACGCACCCACACACATACATACACAAATAAATAAATGTAATAAAAAACCCCTTCATTTCTTGTCCCCTACATGTGCTTCTCCATAAATGCACACAACATGCACACAAAATAAATAAAAACATAATAAAATATTTGAAAAAACACAGGGCCAGTGAGATAGCATGGCTTGGTATGGCATGGATGGGTAAAGACACTTGCTGCTAAGCTTAACAACTTGAGTTCAGTTTCTGGAACCGATGGAATGAGAGAACCGACTCTGACTCTTACAAGTTGTCCTCTGGCTGGGCATGGTAGCTCACGCCTTTAGTCCCAGCACTCGGGAGGCAGAGGCAGGCAGATCTCTGTGAGTTCAAAGCCAG